AAAAAGAAAAAAAAAAATTTTTTCAAGTTTGTTGAGAGGAGGTAGCTGTATCTGCATTGCTTGACTCCATTTTCGCGATAGAGGAAGGAGGGGTGGTGGAAGGGAAAAGGTGGGGTGATCATGACCATGACTGAGCGTTTATTTGACAAGAGTATCACGAGGGATACGTTTAACCCTCTCATTAGATTAGGTCATGCTTGGATGGTGGACGAAGGATGTTTGGTGGTGACATGAAGTTCTGACGACAACAGACGTCAGACTCCTCGCTGATCCTCCTCCTCCCTGTCTCCCTCTCGCGACCTTTTCGCCCGCACCCCCTCCTCCTTCTCTCGTCCTCTCCCACTTGCCGTCGCCGTCTTTGTCCCCTCCTGCTCCTGCTCTTGGTCCCCTCCTCCTCCCTCCCTTCATCTTCTCCTGGCTTTCCAACTTCCCACCTCCTCTGCTCTCAACTCCCCAGCAACCTCCGCCACTTACTCAGCTGAGGAAGATCCTCGAAAGACGCGCTGCATCCTTCCTCTACTCGCGTGCACATGAACCTGCAACGTCTGACGACCAGCAGAGGCGACAGAGGGACAAGACCTGCATTGACGCGACGAGAGCCATGCCTCCTCCTCCTCCTGCCCCTCCTTGGCATGAGAATGCCGGCAGACATGCTTCTCGTCCTCTGTGTGACTGAGAGGAGAAGAAGAGTCTCTGCAGGGGCATGTCGCATTCTCTCCGACGTGCTTGCGAGGGTTGTAAGGGATCCAATCCCTGTGCTCCTTGCGATGGTTCGCAAGCATCTGCACGACAAGTCAGGGAGGACGAGGGAGATGGAAGAGACATACAGCGATGCTCTTCAATCGAGCTTGACAGCCCTTCCACCCGCACGTGAAGATTCCTTCGCTGCTGAACAAAGAAGCTCAAGACAGGATGAGGAACATCAACAAAGTCTCACGCGGTAGAGAAGAGCTGATCTTCAGATATCACAAAGTCCGAGGGCATCAGGAAACGGATATGATCTGCAAGAATTTCGCCCTCTCCATCCGACTCGTCCTCCTCCTTGTCTGCATATGAGCAGTACGCTACTCGCCTGCTCCTCTTGCTCGACTCCTTGTCAGCACAGGCGCTTGATGCTGTATGCGTGTGGTGGGGGTGAGCGTGAGAATGCACCCGTGTTGCTGATTTGGGTCCTTCGTCTTCCTCCTCATGTCTGTCCTGTTGGTGTTGCTCTGATCGCAAACCGTCCTGCCGATGGAAGATTCTTTTGTGTGTCTCCAGACCCTCTGCCGTCCTAAGCAGCTTCCCGCACTGTGACGAATCAAGGTCGTGAGGGGAGCGAGAAAGATGCGACAAAAGCCTCACTTCACAAGTGAATCCTAACGAGCAGGAGCTCACGTGTCGATTCAAGTCTGTTTTCATCGCAAAAGTTCTGAAAAGAATGTGAGGCTAGTCAAGTGTAACAAACAAGTCAACGAAAGCTCTCACTTTCCACAGCTATCACAGCGAAATCGATCTTGGTCGCCGTGAGATCGCAGGTAGTGATACCTGAGGGCGAGTGTGAGAAAACGTTCAGGAGGAAAGTCAATCCCGAAAGTAAAAGACAGGAAGGTTACACGAGAACATCAGTGGAAGCACAAACTGTTCAGGTCAAGGAAGGAGCCATGACGCTGTCAAGAGCTGGCGGAGAAGAGGCAGATGAAAACATAACGGATGGTGCCATGGGTTGTTGTGGAGCGCAGCACCGGAGGAGAACCAAAGGAAGAGGTGGAGGGGAGGGAAAACAGCGGAAGGGCGATCTAACAAGGATTTGAGACCTCAAGGACTGAACTTGACCAGCTGAATGACCACAAGAAGGTTCAGGGCACGTGAAGACTCGATTGCGGTCAGGCGGCCATTCCATGCCTTCATGGCAGTGCGGGATTGCGCCGGAACCTGTTTTCAAGTGAGACTCTACATCACTACCTCCCGTCTCCTCACAGTCTGAATCACTAGTGCACGGATGCTCAGCACCGCAATGACTGCATAACAGACTTGGTCACACCCCCACACTCAGATTGCTTGCTGTCACCCGTCCTTGCAGTCTGCCTGCAGAGAACAATCTTCATTCGCGCTGTGCGCTTGATGCTTCCCCCACTGCCTCATCGTTCAGTCTCGACGCACACACGTCCTTTCTGTTTACCTCGCTGTGCTTGTCCTTCCTGTGTCTTGCTAGCGCTGTATGGCTACGATAATCACGCCGGCATCCTGATCGCAAGCCGTCAACTGGAGGACGAGGAGAGTGAAGGGAGAAGAGAGGAGAAGGTGAAACAGGAGGAAGTCAAGGAAGGGGTGAAGGAGGAGGATGGCGAGGAGGAGGAGGTGAAGGAGGAAGAGGGAAAGGAGGGAGACGAGGAGGAGGAGAAGAAGGAAAGTGCTTCAACCCACCATTCACGTTGCAGCGGAAGTGGGAGACCTGCGCGTCCATCACTGTCAGCAGCTGCGTCGAAATGAGGGCGATGAGGCACCTTGGTAGCAACAAGAGCTTCTGGTGTCAAGCGCAGGTCCGAAGGAGTGAGGTACTGGAAGATAACTGTGTTCTCCTCCTCCCCACTCTCTGAGGAACTTTTGACCTGCGCCACAACCTGCTAGCAAGCTCAAACTTGGGGGGCTGGTACATGACTGAATGCAGTGAGGCAACTCACCTCTTCAACTCGATTTCTATTCTTACGAATGGCTCCGCGTGCGGCTGTTTCTGCATTTCTCTTCCTTTTCACGGCTTGGTTCTTCCTTGCGCTGTCGTCTGTGCCTTGAGTTTCTGTCTTGACACAGCCCTCAGAACTTCTCTTGCACTTGTTCCCGGCCAGGGAAGCAAGCAACAGAATCGCCTCATCCTCCACCATAGATCCCTCCATCCCCCCGCTTCCTTCCACCTCGATCATATCTGTACAGGCGATTCAGCCACAGGGAAGGGGTTGGGCTCGCAAGAGCAACGCGGGGACCTTGAGACATGTGGGACCTCTCTGTTGATCCCTCAGCCATCAGACGTGGCAGCGTTCATGCACGAGCCGAGCATCTGCAGAAACAAGCAACACCTCATCACAATCTCAGATTGGATTCTACAGCTTGCTCTTTCATAGTTTATCTCTGCAACTGCCGGGGTTCTCAATAGCCCATTCAATTCCAGCAATGGTGACGGCGTCTTGAACACTCTTTCTTTCCGATGTCTCCTGTCAGGAGCATCTTCTATATAATGCTCCGCCATCATTTTTCTGGTTGTATCTTTTTCATTTTCACATCTTTTTCTCCCTCACCTTCACTTCGCTTCCTACGTCCCTGCCCCTCCTTGTCTTCCCTCATTATTTTTGCTCCCGCCTTCTGTTTTCCTTCCCTTCCCAGTATGACCATCTTCTCTGAGCAAGTGCTTCTCTCTCATTATCTTCCTTACCATTCTCTCTGCATCGTCGTCTCCTCTACAACCTCTCGCATCTCATCTTCTCCCCTCCCTCCCCTCCCTCCGCATTCTGATGCGCCAGCATGTGATCACCGCTTTTTGCCCCCACCCTACTCTACCCCCCCTTCATCCCTCTACAAGGACCCCTTCGTTCCTCTATCACCCCACCCCACTTCTCCATCCCTCCGCATCACTTCTATCTATTCCACCCCACCATTTATCAACCCACCCACCCCTTTGTCTTCCTGGCCTTCCAATTCGTCCACCACCCACCCTCATCATCTCTTGAAAAATTCCCCCTCACTTGCCATATTGAACTCTCTGCCCTTTGGCAAACATACGGTTCTCGATAGGGTGGGGTACTTCTTTAGGGTGGTACCCGTGCATTATTATCCCTACCCCTCCAAACTACCCACCCATCGGCAGGTACCCCTCACTAATACTCGATCGTGTGCTGAAAGATAGTAAAGAAGGTGATGCTCTGATCTGATTCGATTAAATTCAAGATCATCGAGCGGCCGGTGAGTCGGGTGACTGCGGCCGGCCGCCGGGGCCTGACTCAGTGAGTCCGACGAGTCTCAAGCCGCCACTGGCCGGGCTCGGAAGTTCCGGCGAGTCCGAATGGCAATGACGCCGACGGTCACCGCCGGAGTCAGCAGCGGCCGGGCCTGTCACCGTGCGGGTGGAGGCGGGACCGTCACGATAGTACCGTGACGGACTCAGTCCGGCGGACCGTACTCAGCGGCCGGGCGGCCCAGTGGGCGGCGGGGCTGCGCCGCAGTGAGTCGGAGGAATCCCACGCGGTACGGTCCGGCGGCGGGCCCCGCCCCGGCGGGCCCGACGGTGAGGAGTCTGAAGAGTCCGGTTCCGATCATCGCCGCGGGATCGGGATGCCGCAGTGCCAACGGCTGAGGGTTCGGAATTCGACTCGAACTTCGGAACTTGACTCTGTGAAGCCACGGTGCCAGGTCACCGGGTAACTCAGTTCGGAGTACTGAGCCCGGCGCTGAGGCCGGGCCACTGCCACCGTGAGGAGGCTGACCGCCGATCAGAGTTTGACAAGCATTTGACTCGCTCGCTCATCATCGTGAGTTTGAAGGAGCGGTTCACGGCGGGAGGGGCTGTGCTGTAGTAGCGATCATCGGGAGTCACTAGTCCGGCGTCAGCACAGTCAGAATGCTGGCATGGTGCCAAACCCCAGCGTCATGTGTCGACTGCGACATGGCTGGAGCAGGAGGAGAGGAGGCAAACCTGGGTCTGAAACGTGAGTCGCTTCCGCCACCAACCTTTTGAGACACTTTCCTCTCCTCACAGTCTCTCGTCTTGGTTGCTGCTTGCTCGCTCCATCTCACCGCAAGTCACAGTTAGTTACAACTCCATGGGAGTTCTCGAAGTTCGCTCGATCGATTCCGACCTGCCAGAGGCCTCTGACGGTGGAGCCTCCTCCACGCCTGGCATGGCGATGCTGACAGCATGTCGGCAGTGCTACGACAAGGGGACGTGCTCTATGAGGTCGATGGCGTTAACGTGTACGGCAAGTCCATCGGCTTCGTGTTTAACCTCGTCAAGGTGAGAGGGGGGAGAGAACAAGGAGGGCTGATGACGCCGTCGGCAGGGCAAACCTGGGACGAAAGTCGACCTGACGTTCAAGAGATTTGTAGGAGGAACGGGGAGAGGAGAGAGGCAATTGACTTGTGTGCGGGTCAGAACGACGACAACCCTTACGACCAAGAATACATCAGGACGACTTTGACACGTCGGGTGATGCTGCTTGCTCGACCTCCTTCAGTCTCATCCCATCTTCTACTCCAGGCTCGGGCCGAGGGCTCTCAAAATCCTCGTAGGGTCAAGTGGGGAGAGCAGGGAGGATGAGATGACGTTGCTGCAGCTCCAGGGTTCGTCAGCACCATCAAAGATCACTCTAAGTCGAGCAAGAGAGCCATGGACGTGAGACACGCAGACTGCTGGACGAGCTTGAGATGATGGAGAGCGCAGGAAGATATCATCGTGTCGACCAAGACTACCTCACAGATTGTCTTTCCCTTCACGGTCTCTCTTCTCCTTCCTCTCTCTTGTTGCCGTCACTCACCTCCTGCAGCCTTCCAAGAGCGGAGCACAAGTTCGTCTTGGCACGAGCCTGGCGACCTCAGAGGAGCAGCAGGAGCCGAAGCTGCAGGCTCGGAGGATGAGCAAGGAGGAGCTTGAGACGGAAGAGAAGATTAAGAGAAACGTGGGAGGCATCGGGATCAGCGTCATGGTGACCGGCAAACCTCCTCACCGGCTGGTCGTCAACCATGTCGCTCAGGACATGCCGGCAGCGCAATCAGGAATCATCAGGTGGGAGCAACGACGATCTGTCTCCCACTATCTGCCTCCTCCTTCACTCTTTGTTCTGCTCTTTCATCTCAGCCTCTCCTGCAGGGTCGGCGACGTGCTAGTAGAGGTCAACGGAGTCGAGATGCAAGGCCTGAGCCCGGACCAGGTACCTCCGTCTTCTTTCCTTTGATTTTCCTTCTTCGCTACTCATCTCGTCCTCCCTTGAGTTTCATCTCCCGTCTTTCTCAGGCTCGCGATCTGGTTCTTGGGCCTCCAGGCACCAAAGTCTCACTCAAAGTGATGAGGGAGGGAGTGACGGTACCCGCGGTGTTGACTCGTTACGATCCTCTGCGATCATTTCGATGACGACAATGAAGTTATATTTAGGAACCAAGACCTCCTCTTTTTCCTTGTCCCCTCTCACTCGTTCTACTCCCTTGTCTGCTGTTATCGCTTCATGCCCGGGAAGTATTTGGCGATTCAAGTTTAATCGATCTAATGAGATGCTAATATTGCGATTCACAATAGGTGATGGTGTTACAGGCGTGCGGTGCAGCGTGAGGCACATACAGCACGAAAGGGGAGGGGGGGAGGGGGGGGAAAGGATGGAGCTCAACTCATGGAGGAGCAATCAGGAGAGAGACCAGTGGAACAAGGTGGAACCCGACGACTTGGAGGAAAACTGTCGAGCAAGAAGTCTACTCGTCTTTCTTCTTCTTCTTCTTGTCCTTCTTATCCTTCTTGTCCTTCTTCTCGCCTTCGTCGTCCTGTTTGAAAGACACAACGTCAGCAAATATCGGGAGGGCAGCCTATGGTTGTTGTACCTCAGTCTTCTTCTTCTTCTTCTTTGGTTTCTCCTCCTCCTCCTCCTCCTCCTCCTCAGATTCCTCCTACACAAGCAAATCAGATGATGCAGGAGGGCAACGGCCTGCCACACCTTCTTCTTGGCCTTCTTCTTCTCCGACTTGTCCTTCTTCTTCTTCACCTCCTCCTCCTCCTCCTCGTCGCTGTCTGCCTTGCGCTTCGACTTCTTCGACTTTGCACTCATAGTCATGTCTTCAGCATCGTTGTACTTGGAAGATGACTTGGCCATCCCGTCTTCGTCTGCCTTGCTCTCATACTTCTTGGCGTTAGGCTTTCCCTTGGCGGAGCCGCTCAGGTTGGTGATCGTTCCTCCCTCGAGTTGTCTCAGTCTGTTCTCTACCGCTAGTCTGTGTTCCACTCCGACTTGAGGGATGTCACCTTGACTCAGGGCGTCCACACGGATCGAGAGCGCACACTTGGCCGCGAGCACACGTGAGATCTTGCCCTTGTGCTTGGGAGCAGCTTGACCGATGAGCGACGCGTGATAGATCAGACCGTACTTGGGAGTGTCGTGCTTGCTCTTCAACGCTCTGAACAGCGCTTTCTCTGCTCCCAAGATCTGCACGGTGGAGGCAGGATGCTTGGCAAGATTCATCAGGGAGCCAGCATGCGCGATGAGGCGAGCACCAACGAGTTCTCCGACCATGGTGGTGAGATTGGGTGCGATGGCTCGCATGCGATTGAGAAGATACTCGTAAAGTTGCACTCTGTACTCGGAGAGTTGGATCACTTGATCGCAGAGGGACTGGATGTTGTTGATATCGTCATCAGAGATCTCCGTTCCCATGGAGATCTGCACCGCCTCCTTCAGCTCTTGCTCTGTTTCCTCGTCAAGGATGGACGAGAAATCGCAGCTCACGCAGTTAGTTCGCATGCCCATCAGCTTCACAACCTTGGCGTACGGCACGTTCTCGGTCACAATCTTCCCCATCTCGGGGAAGTGCCATCCGTACCACTCCCTCACGCGCATGGCGTAGGTGTTGAGCTCCTTGTCAAGCTCGTCGAGCAGGCCGATTGCTTGCACAACCATAGTGTCCACCTTGTCAGGGCTGAACTTGAGCTTGTGGCGTCCGAGGCTGTGAGCCAGACCGAGCCTCATTGTCTTGAGATCTTGTTCGGTGGTGCCTCCGAGGAGCACCTCAAGGTTTGCTCTCACACCTCTCATGATTTCAAGCACCTTGTCATCATAGATGCACGGGACTTCCAGCTTCTCCTTGATCACTTTCCCCAGCTTCGTCTCGTACACCGCCAACTCTTCGTTGAGACCCTTCTTCACTATGTTCTTCTCCAAGAATTTCTTCAGCCCTTTGCTCAAGCTGCTCTCAAGCATAGCAGTTGCTGCAACGAGCGCCTCAGAAGTGTCCTCGAACTTCTGGAATGCCTTAAGCTTCATCGCCTTGCTGGCCTTGTCTGGATCCGCGAAGACCTCCTGTATGTCGTCTACATCCTTGAGCTTCTTCTCGTCGGTGACTTTGAACAGCGCATAGCCCGCTGGAGTTTCGTAGAGGACGAGCATGTTCTAGTGGAGGGATGGAAGCGCTTTTGAGATACAGTGGCTGGGTGGGAGAACCAAGGATCTGAAAAAGGGAGAGGGGAGCGAGGGAGGTCGGTACAAGAGTCTTGGAGCTACTTTCAAGGTGAAACAGGAGGGGGCCGATGCGGAAACACACAGACAGGGAAGGTCCAGGGTCAGATGAAGAGGTGGAGGAGGTTGATGTGTGGCTGGAACAGCAGCGAGGCGGGAGGAGGTGGAGGAGGAGGAGGAGGAGGAGGAGGAAGCGTGGGGCACGCGTTCAAGGATTCTGATCCTCACGTGCGGAAATAGCGGTTATCAAAACGTTATTTCCGTTACATGTGGTCGTTTTGTCGCCGCACACCGGACTGAAGACCTTCGTGGCGGGCCCGGGCCCGGAAATTCGGGCCGGGCTCAGCTGTTGACAGTGTTCATGGCCAAGGCTGCATGTTTCGACATTTCATAATGAAAGCTCTAATTAATTATGGGTATCCTGTTACCTTCTCCCTCCTCCTCCCTCCCCCTGTCGCGCCCCTCGTAGAAGGGGTGACACGGCCTACGCGGGGCATGGCGATGCGGAAAGGAGGCGAGATGAGGAGCGTGGAAGATGAGGAGGAGACTGAGAGAGACTCTGGGAGGAAGTCTTTCTGCTCTTGAAGGGTGAGAGGCATCTAGCAGGTGGCCTTGCGTGCGGGAACCAGACCGGGGAGGCGTTGCAATGAGCTGGCCTCTTGAATCTGTTGAAGATCTCGGGGAGGAGGAGATGCTAGCGATCGCCATGGCGGTGTCGCTTTCTGAATCTCAGCAGAAGGATCACCTGAAGCATGACAGTGACGTTTCGAGCGCTCATGCTGCTGCTGGAATAGACTGCTCAAAATCGATCAGTCGTGCTCAGGAGGCGCAGGAGGCGCAGGAGGCGCAGGAGGGGCAGGAGGGTCAGATGTCGGAGGGGTCAAGCAGCAAGGTCTCATATCGAGACAAGATCGTCGAGCCTCATCGAACGTCTTCAGCGGAGCAGATGGCGACGGCATGCGAGAGGCGCATGAGCGACGTGAGACAAGAAGATTCGGCTCAACAAGCGAAGAAGGATTACGCGGTTTTCCTGGGGAGAGGGTATGGATGTTGATGGCTGCTCCTGCTCTCGATGATCGCCTCTGGTCCTTACAGGCACGAACAATGTCACAACGAAGAAGAATCCATCACGGGCATGCACGTGCGTCGTCAGCGCGCAGCTGCCCATCCGATAGTCTGACAGTGTGTCCCAGCTCAAGGAAATCCATCCGTCCCGGGTTGTGAGGTTCCGAGTATCGTCAGCCGGGTCCGAGGGGAGGTTGGGAGATGCTTCAAGTTGCTTCAAGGAGAGTGACGTCACCGCAGCAACGCCACGGCTTCGGAGTTGCCACTGCCAGCAGGTTGGCTAGGTCGAGATCGACTGCTCGTTGACGTCTTGTACGCAAGATGTCAAAGTCAACGATGACGCGGCGAGTATTGTGCATGGGTATGATGCCGTAGCGCTCGCAAGATGGTTGGCGAGAGATCAAAGGCTTCCTCTTACATGGCAGCACGTGACGGACAAGGTTGTTCGTTCTCATGGTTGCGACTCATTGTCGTGACCTGCAGTCTCAGGATGCGGAGATGGTTTGGACCGTGATGTGGGAGACTGTCACCCCAGACGAACTGAGCGATCTTGAGAAGAACGGCGAGCTGGTAAAGGATAAGGCAAGTCGATGTCGAGCCGTCAAGCTTGTCCCTCACTAAGAACCAGATAACCGGAGAATATCGGAAAGCCGACGCTCAGGGGAAGACGATGAGGCTGGTGGATCCTGATGAGACCAACTTGGATTGCCTGGACTGGCAGTTCTTCTTGTCAGAGATCGACAGGCTAGAAACTCAAATCCGCGGGTGCCTTGTCCTTGTTGAACTGTCTGTGGGCGGACGGGTGACCTGCCGTGGGTTGACTTGCAGGGCAAAGAACAACTTTCTGCGCGACAGATCTTTTGGCAAGCGCGGCGATGGGCACGTGCGTGTACAGGTGAGTGTTGAGAGAGAAGCTCAAATCGTGAGGCTCGGGTTGACGTTGCTCGCCAGCTCCTGTCAGAACTCGAGATCAGGCTCGAGGCTCGGAGGCGACAGTTCCAGGTACTGTTGGAACGAGGTGAAGGTATCGCAATGTGGTAACGGCCGCCTATCAGCACATCACATCCAACTTTGACGCATCAGAAGTCATGGCGGACTTGTACCATGTACCTCCCTCTCACCTTCCCCACGAGTCCCGTCCTATCGCGCCCCTCCTAATCAGCTTTGCTTGATGCCATTTGCAATTCTGTTGATGTGCTGAGACAGATGCAAGAAGTTGTTAATCAGATTCAGAGTGGTGCTCCCATCAATGACCTGACCAGCACCTTTCAAACCAATACGCCCGCCAGCCGCCTGTCTGCTGCAGGTGGAGCAACAATGGGAGACTGCATGAACATTGACCTCATGTACAGATGCTGAATGGGAGGGCGAGCAGGAGGGGGACGATGAAGAGTATGAGTATGACGATCACAATTGGTCAAGAGAAAAGGTAGAACGAGAACACTCAAGGAGGTGATCTGATAAATGTGCAAGCAGAAGAATCGGATGTGGGGTTAGAATGAAACTTGACAATCGAGGACGTGTTATGTTTAAGCTTTATTAGAATGCAAAAAGACTTTATGGGGAAAATTCAAAACAATAAAATTCGAAGGATAGAAGAGAACATCGCAAGCTTAGAATCAATCTTAGCCGAGCACTTGGAAGCTTTGTCGCCGATGATCTGCGCCTGAAGCCTCTCGAGGATGCCATCGACCCTCCCTCTGCTTTTGGAAGCTGGAGCTGAGAATTTCAAGCTGTCCTCGAACTTTGATTCGATGACATCCACAAACTCAGTCCCTGACTCGTTGTCCTCGTTCAACCGGAACAGACTGCTGAACGATTCGTCGACAATGAAAAGAGGGTGGTTGAGGAGCTCGACTGCAGATGGACGTTCCTCTGCATCGGCCTTGAAGCAAAGCTCGAGGAAATCTCTCATGTTGTCTGATATCTTGTCGGAGGGAAACTCAGGGTGGTGACCCTGCGACACCTTGAACATTATCGCAAAGACGTTGTCTTCCTTCTCCCAAGGCACCTTGCCAGTCAGCATGTTCAAGGCAGTGCAACCAACGCCCCAGATGTCCGAGGCCTCTGAGTGATGCTGCGTCCTGATCACCTCAGGAGCCAAAAACGATGGCGACCCCACTGGGCAAGACACTCCACGATTGGCGCTGCTGACTTGGTCGCAGTCTCCCACCCAATCGCAGAGCTTGTAGCTGTCAGTGGTGGTATCATACAGTATGTTGGCAGGCTTGATGTCCTTGTGAACGATTCCGTGGCGGTGGAGATAGGAGAGTCCCAGCAACACGTCATACAGAGCCTCTTTCGTCCTCTCCTCATCAAACGCGCCCTCGGATTCCATAACCTCATGTACAGAACCACCATCGATGTATTCCATCACCGTCCTCCCCTTGGATCCAAAGACCTTGTGGCTGACGATGTTGGCATGACGGAGATGTTGGCTGCAGTCCGAGGACTTGGGAGAGTCTAGACCAACAGGGGAACGAGGTTCCTTGACCGCGTAAATACTCCCCGACGGAGTTTGGTACTTGAACACAACTGAGTGCGATCCTTCACCGAGTATATCCGAGTCTGTGACATCCCATTGTTCAATATCCATGCCATCCAATGAGCAGGAAGACGATGCCCTGGGAAGACTCTTAAGTCGCAAGAAGGAGTCGCGAGCGACCCGTTTATGCTTAGCAGACAGCCAAGGAGGCGAGTTCATGGAGGATTGTGAATGCATGTTGGACTGTTGAGGGAGGAAGAGGAGGATAAGGGGGAGAGAGGGAGAGCGCCCTCAGAATCGTTTGTCTCAGGATGAGCTGCGGGGCGGGAGGGGAAGTGCTGCGAGCGTGGCTACCAACAAGAGGAGGAGGAAATTGCGAAGGGGAGGTTGGGAGGAGGAAAGAAAAGGCCTGGGGGAGTAAAACTACCCTAAAGGGGTGGGGTCCTCTCCTTTCAGGTTATCCAGGCGGAAACCAACTGGCTGGAAGCAAATGGGATGACCATTTTCAATTATGGGCATACTTAATAAATTGACAGACAACGTAGTAGGCTATACACTGAGCAAGAAATCTGAGCCTGCAATCAATGTCGGATTCAACTACCTGGAGAGGTAGGGTGGGGTAGTGGGGTTGCAGCGGTAGAGGTGCTTTAACCCCCTTCACGGATACATCAGCAGGGTCAGAAGCGGAGTCCACCCCCACCCCCTAATGCACTCTAATGACCCTGTGGTACCTTTGCTGACTACCCTGCTACAGTTAAATACCCGAGTCACGATCCAAAGCACCTCCCATGGTTGCGTCACAGAACCACCCCATCACCCCCTCATTCAGCTACTTTGACCCCCCGATTCAATGTGTGACCTTCTAGGTGGTTTACACCTATGAAAAAGGGGGGCCGAGAGGGAAGGGGTAGGGATGAAGAGCGGGGAATCTGCTGTAAGAATCAGGGGTGGGTGGTTCTGACCTCTCAAATTCAGGGGTGGGTTGTTTTGAGGACCCGCAAGGGGTGGGAGGTGGGTTGGGTTGCGTTATGCCTTGATGGGGGTCGAAGTTGTTTCACAAGACGTAAAACTCAAAAGATGCAGTTTAGGAAACGAAGCGATGCGAAGTGATTGAATGCTAATTCCGAAACAAGTCGTTATCGTTTCCTTGGCCTCAACGGCCCTTTCGAGACAAGTCTTTACCACAATCGACCCCTCGTTTTAAAATATGTTTTAGATAACAAGGAGACAACCTCCGAGTTCTGATGGAGGGTAGACATTTCCGTCTGAAATGAGCGTCTGACCCCAAATATCTGCTGACATCGTAGTCTTACACCGACCTTGTGGCACAGAAGTAGAACCAAAGTACCCCCAAACGAAAATGCAATGGTTGCGCCCCATGAAGTACTGACTCTGAAGATGCTCCATGATCGTCGTAAAGCAACTGTTTGCGATACGAAACAACACCGTTTCGATTATTTATGCGTCGGAAGTAACGTGATCTCCATGGTGCTGACATGACCTGGCAGAGCGCGAGCATTCCAGCCAGTCAACAGGCTAGAACGAGTGCGACATGAGGACGCAATTGACTGACTCTCGTACTGATCTTTAGCTCAACTTTGACTCTCGTACTGATCTTTAACTTAACTTTGAGTCTCGTACTGATGTTTAACTTAACTTTGAGTAAAGCTCGTTCCACCGCCGGACCGGAACCGTCGGTCACGCCCGGCGCCGACGACTCGGTCCCGCCCGGCCGGCCGGCCCCGGCCGGGCCGTACCGCGCGGCCGTACGCCGGCAACCGTGAACCCCCCCCCCCCCCCTCACCTCCTTTCCCTTTCCCCGGCCGACCGGCTGGGCGGCCCGCCGCGGCCCGGGCCCGGCAACTTGACTCTGTGAACACTGACGGTGAACTTCCGAAGTTCGGAAGATGTTCGCCGGGAACAGCCCAGGCATTAGCAAGTTGTGGCGGCACTGCCGCAGCGCGCAACGGTGGGCCGCCGCCAGGCGGCGAACTTTTTGCAAGTTGAAGACTACCCGGAAGTGCAGACTGCGAATCACTCAACTCAGCATAAATTCACTTACAAGACTGCTATCAACATCTTCTCCCGTTCTCTTCAAGGCGTAGAAAAACCTGTAGGGCTCCTGCCAACAAGTCAGTGACTCAGGAGTTCCCGGACTCCAAAAGCTAATATGCGGCACTGAGCCTGAAACGCGACTCGGACTCCGAGTCACATCACTGACCTCTAGTGCGTTTGAGAAGACCTTCAGGTTCCAATGCCAGGCAGACACCGGCGGCAGGATAGTCCCAGAGAGTGGCAATGAGACACAACCTCATCAGCAGGCTATCGTCAAGTAACAAAATATCAGCACCTGCTCAACAAAGTCCGTCAGTATCAACACTTCCAATCAAATCAACTGAAACTATACAAAGTTAGTTCTGTCACCTGACCACTATGTTCCAGCCCCAAAGGATTTATGATGAAGTTACGAGTATGAAAGCATATCCTGTCCCGACCACCGTCAAGCTGCTTTCCTCATTTCACCTCCCTCCCCTCACCCTGTCTGCCTCCAGAAATAAAGGAACGTCACATGACACCCCATCGTCCTCCTGTCTCCGTGCGCGTACCCGACCACCTGCTGCCTGCTGTCTGCAACTTTCTTCTCAGCGACCAGCGCCTCCTCGCTTCCACGCGTACCGCTGAGCTCTTTGATCTCTGAGCCATCAAAGGTTGCCTTCATGACTTGAATCCAGCGGGTCTTGAAGCCTCCCAGGAACTGGCGCATCCGGCACAAGTGAAGAAGAGGAGTGAGAAGAAGATGACGACAAAGACGATGAGTGCAAAGACCTGAGGAAGGCGGAAACGTGCATGCCCAAGCAATCTCACAGGGCAATGTGCGGCCTCACTGTCAAAATCAAGCAAAAGATGGCCCTCGTGGTGGCTTGTGACGATTGAAAACAGCTGCTTCGTCATGCCCTCTGCAGTGACAGATAATAAACAAGACTGTTAGCGATCGTCGTCTCTCACTCACACATCACATGTCTCTACCAAACGTCGAGTTCGACTTCGCCGCCATCTTCTCCATCAGCCCTCTCGACGTGTCGCAAGTGCCCATCCTGCCGACGAATTCCGACATCATCCCATGGGAGCTGTAGCAAGTCATCTCAGTGTCTCCACACGAGCATCATCATCATCATCAGCAACAACCTCCCCGACACTAGCTTCATCGCTCGGTCGGCAAGCAAAGGAGAAGAGGGGCTCTCTTGATCAAACGTCGCGACCCCTCCCAGTCTGCGGAAGTCCAAATGCTTCAGCTCGATCTCGGCGCTGTCGGGCCCCAGAGGCTCCGGATAGATGATGGACATGCAGACGTCCTTCCTCACCACCCCTAGTAGCCGGAAGCGCTCCATCCTCATCCTCCCTCCCTCCAGCAGCCGCATGCTCACAACCTCGTCCACCTGGAACTCAGGCGGGCACGTCACATCCCAAGCCTGTCGAGCGATGCCTCTGAGCGCGTCCATGTCCTGCATGCTCACAAGATGGAGCATGCACTGCCCTACCTACGATCGACTCATTCACCCCGCCTCCCTCCCCCCTCTCCATGCAAGCTTACCAGCCTCCCCCCGAAGCACGAACCCTCGTAATCGCCATGTACCGCTCCGCTCACGTCCCGTATTGTCCAGCTGGGTATGTCAGCGAGAATGATCCTCTCCTGTCGACTCAGCAGCATGCAGCTCATCATATCGGTGTAGATCGCTCGCTTTTGTTCCTGCGCTCGCTGCCTTTCGTCGCAGGAGCGCAAGTAGGCGACGAGGTCATGGAGGAGGTTGAGGGCGGGGCGCTGCTTTTGGTGGTTCGCGGGCTCGATGGCGGGGGAGGATGGGGGTACCATGAGGTCGAGCTTGCTCATCAGGAGCTTCTGCTCGCTCCGCTGCTTGCTCTTGAGCTCCCGCTGCAGCCTCCTCCTCTTGTCCGCATCGGCGATGGGCATGTCGGGGAGGAGTGCTGCCTTCACGTCCGTCACATGAGCGTAAAGGTGAGGGTGTAGATGTATGTTGCTGTCCTTCAGCTATAGACCTCTTCCCTCCTCATGCCCATGGGGAGTGTGCGGGGATGTGGTACGGAGGCCGAAAAACTCGCAATAGTGGAGTGATCGTACGATCACCTGGAGGGAGCGGGAGAGGGAGAGGAAGAAGGAGAGCAAGAACGAGAGGAGAGCAGGAAGGTGCATGCAAGAGGGCAGATAGGAGATCATCGGTGAGTAGGAGCAGAGGACAAGTGGACATCCTCTCGAGCACATCTGTTGCGCGTAGACGTAAGAAACATCTTGGAGGCGAGGAGGCGAGGGGATCAGAGGCGATGATTGCGCATGGCAAAGTGAGTTTAGCTATTGCGGGCTTGCTAGCGACCCTCCCGTGTACCGTCGGCCTGCAAGTAGAGGTGGCAAAGTTTCGTGCAGCGCCTTTGAAGTTTCACCAACGACCTCGATGCCCTGGCGTTACGAGCCTGCGACTTCGAGGAGGGGAGGAAGAGGTAGAGAAGGACACGTTGATCACACGTCTCAAGAACAACCGATCCCTCAACCCGTGAGCTCCTTTCCTTCCTTTTACCCCCTTTGACATGAGAGCAGGTCGGATCATGCAAATCAACTCGAATGGTTTCTAGCCCTGGTCCTTGCGGCGTACGTTGCCATCGGCGCTCCTTTCTCCGAGTACGTCCCACTCTTGCAGGACTTGGTCAAGGTGCCAGAAAAGGAGAAAGAGCTGACGGCAAGTTGCTTCCTTCCTTGCCGACCCTGAGGATCAGTTCCGAGCAGGCGGCGGAGAAGGAGCGGATGGAATGGAACCGCATACGGCAGGAGCAGGAGGAGGAGTTCCAGAAGTCCCTCATGGAGGACTCGGTGATCCTCGTCTATTGTGGCTGAGGCTCGTGGGTAACACAGCATGCTCCAGATGAAGCAGAATGAGCAGAAGAAGAGGAAGGAGGAAGCAGAAGCAGCAGAGAGGGCGGCTAGGGTGAGCATACTGTGATGTGTTGCTTGACGACAAAGAAGCTGCCTCCTGCCTCCTGCCTCCTGCCTCCTGCCTCCTGCCTCCTGCCTCCTGCCTCTCCCCTCCCTTCTCCTTTTAACATTGGACTGCAGAGGCCGCAGAGGCAAAGGCGAAGCTGTTCGACTCCAGCAAGGTGCCACAGCCGAAAATTGGCTGCCCCAGCTGACTCCCTGGCACAGAAAGCGTTTGAGGAGAAAGTGTCGCGCCTCCCAACAGAGCCCGAGCAGGGAGCTGGTGTCGTGCAGCTTCGCTTCAGGTGTCCCGATGGCCAGCAGGTTGGACTCATTCTCTACAGGAGGAAGTAGAGAAAGGCCGGGGGCGAGAAAGGGAATGGAATGGCAGGGAGAGCGAGAAATGTGGGGAAAGAGGAAGAGGGAGAGAAATAGGAGACAAGAAGACACGAGACAGTGTAGAAGAACAGAGGAGGCGGTGGAGAAAGGGATCAAGAACAGAGGCTGGCCGGGGATGATTGGAGCTGTTGTGGGTTATAGATGCTATGGTGCTAATATCTGTCGCAGCTCACAAGAAGGTTTTCACTGGAAGATCAAGTCGGGTGGGTTTGTCTCCTCGTTTGCCTTTCTCCTCTTCTTCCTAGTATGACAAGCTTGCAGGGTGATGTTCGACTACGTGGATGTCGAGCGGTACAAGAAGGCAGAGCAGGCTGACAACGCAGAGGTTCGAAAACCTTCTCCTCCTCACGCAGCTCATTGACTCTCATTGCAGGAGCAGCTGAAGGAGCTTGCGGACTTGGATTATGTCCTCGTCTCGACTATCCCCAAGCTTCTGCTCTCGGAAAGAGAAAAGACGGTGAGTCTGCTGGCGATGCAGCTAAGGAGATGAAGTTTGCTGTAGCTCAAGGAGAGCGGAATAAGTTCAAGCTGCGCCCTCATGATCAAGCCGGTGGTTGCCGATACGTGAACATGTCAAGAAGCAGAGCAGTGTGAGGAGGGTTGATGGAACTTGACGAGGCAAGCTTCAAGGCAAGGGGAGCAGAAGAGATCAGCCTGATGTTGAGTTGTGAAGCTTGTTGAGTCTTGTCGGTCAGTATTGAGAAAAGCGCTCTATCTCTGTGCTTCTCTTCCCCTGCTCGACTTGCTTTGTGCTCCCTTTGCCTCCTCGAATCGTTTGATTGCTCTTTGGACGATCTCCTTCGAGACTCCCTGCAGACCTTTAGGCATCGCTAAGGACAATGAAGATCCTGACCTCCTTTCCGTGCTTAACTATGACAAGCTCAGAAAACCTGTCAGGCATCCCACTGCTCAGCTTCCAGCACTCCTCCACCTGTAGCAAGTCTCATCCTCCCCTCCTCATCTCCAACACCTACCTGTTCTTTCGACAAAACATTCCACAGACAGAGGATGTCTCCGAAGTGCCTGCAAGCAGCCAGTCCATCACAGCCTGGTCCCATCTTCATTCGTGTCTACCGTGCGGACGCGTACTGATCCAGCTCAGAAGCAAGGTCCCCAGTCTTGCCTGGCCCGTCGCCACTGCTCAGGGAGGGGGCGTTGGCCTTGTGCCTCTTTGGAATACTAGGAAGAGTCGCTGGTTTCGACGGGACGAACGTCGAGGGCTTGGCGGTAGTTTCTTGGGCACCCCCAGACGATTTTTCGATCTCCCTGCTCTGCAGCTCCTCTAGGTCCTTGATGGGGCAGGCGACGAAGAGGTTCGCATCGTTAGAACGGAAGGAATCGGTGGAAGGGGGGATGAGAGGAGGGAGGGAGACTGCAAGCGAGGCCCCTGAGCTTGCTCTTCTAGTGAACAAGTTGGCACCGGCTCCAGCATCGTCGTCCTCCTGATCTTGCTTCGCTACCTTGCCCTCATCGGAGCTCGCGTGCACACTTTGACTGGTGGGGTCAATGGAGGTTGACAGGGGCACGTCCTCTTCGTCGATGTCTCCTTTCTTGTCGACCCTTATCTTGCTCTCGCTTCTGTCCTGTGACTTTGCCTCTTTTTCCTCCTTCAATTCATCATCTGGTTTGCCCCCCTTCTCTCTTGGCTTTCGGTCCTGTGTGGGCTCGTGGTGGTTCGGTTTCCCATCATTCGGCTTCCTCCCACTCTTCACGTCCGATGAAGTCATTTTCTTCCCTTTCTCGCTCTCCCTCGTATCTTTGAGCTCCTTGTGCCGCGATTTGGCATCTTCAGCTGACTCCTCTTTGTCTTTCTTCTTCATCAGCGCTTGCTGCTTTGGGTCCACCATGTCCACCATGGATTTCTTCTCAGCCTTGTCAGCCTTGTCAACAGTTTGTGGTTTTCGTCCTTCCTTTGTCTTTGCACTTCTACTCTTGGAGCTCGTGGCGCTCTTGTCGTTTTCTCGCTCTTCAAGGTTTTCTTTGGACTGTTTGTCACCTCTCTCTGCCTGCCTTCGTGAGTCAACATCCGGCCCGGCAGAACGTGCTTGCAAGAAGCTACAAACCTTTCCCCTCCCTTCCTTGCGAGTGGACCGATCGCCTTCTGAATGATCCTTGCCATGGTGCACGCTCTGTGCAAAGAACATCTCACGAAATCGTTGAGGGAATAATTATGAGCAGGCTGACAAAAACTTCACCGTTGCTACGGCAGCTTGCTCCTTTTGGTTATAAACCTTCAGAAGCTCTTCATCGATCTGAGACTTCATGCGTTCCAAGCTTCCATCCTCTAGCTCCATCAGCTGCTCGAGTTGTCTGGTTTGAAGATAAAGCATTCAGTTTCATTGCACCAGGATCTTCTGTGAGTTACCTGCGGCAAGCTTTTGACGTTAAAGCTCTTATTTCTTCAATCGTCAATTTGTCGAGCATGGAAGCCAGCTGCTTTCGGACCAAAGCAACATCTATTTTCTCATCTTTCTTGATCTCTTTCTTGATCTCTTCATCTTGGCCGCGCTCTGAGGTTCTTCGTCGCTTCGAAAGAGGCAAGTCCAAGTCATCATCGTCTGAATGCTTGGATGCGGATTCCGAGAACTGTTCCTCTTGATGGTCTTTGTTATTGTTCATGCACACAGCTTGCTTTCTATTCGCTCCACCCTCCGCCTTCTTCCCTCTTCCCCGAGCTCCACCTCCTCGCTTCGCAACAATGCTTGCGCTGCTCGCCAAATCCGAGCTCTTGAGCCTCTTGTCCTCGGAGGGAGCAGCGTGTTGCTGCTGGTCCTCGTAGTCTTGTCTCTTCCTCGTCGTCGCCACGAGTTCGCTCGATCGGATCCTCTGCACCGCTCGCCGCTCGCGCCCTCCCGCTCGCCCTGCCATCTCCGATGCTCCTCTTTCTTCTCCTCGTAAATTATATAAAACAACCACTTGTTATGATATTTTATATATAACGATCCCTTCGCCGTACAACGCACCTGAAGTTTACGACCGTTTTACTTCGCCGGCCGCCCGGCCCCGTTTGCTGAGGCGGGTCGTCAATCCTACCGAAACTATTGTCAGGTGACTCGCTTGAGGCAGCAGGAAATTCTGCCGGTAGGGACGATTGATGTTCCTCAATATTTACTATAAGATATCTGAGGCGGACTTGAAATCCTATGAACTGACAACACGGGGCTGACACGAGGACCCTGGCACATCGGAAAGATGCTCTCGTCCGCAGGCTCGTGCATGTCGCGAAGTTTGGCGAGCAAGGCGGCCATGTTCGAGTTCTCCAAGTCAGAGCGACTCGTCGACTTCCTCTGCTCCAGGCTGCCCATGAACCATCACGCGCTTCCTGACGTGCGGTACCTCGACGAGAAGTTGAAGCTCAAGTACGGTCCCAACAGCAAAGTCTGCAAGTTCCTCGTTGGGAGCAGCTGGGACGGGCTCCCCTCTTTGGTGGACCCGGCGTATCATCTACCTGCGAGTCGAAAGCTGCGAAAAAGACAACAGCTCATGAGCATCTTCAGGGCGGTGGCGCCGTTGCTGCTGTGCGAGAGAAAGGAATCGAATCCTCTTAAGCTGGTGGACTTCTGTGGCGGGGGAGGGCATGTCGGTCTGCTCTTGGCTTTCCTGTTTCCTGATGTTGAGGTCATTTGTGTCGACAAGAATGTTCGCGCCCTAGAACTCGGGGTGCAGCGTGCCAAGGATCTGAGTCTGAGCAACTACCGGACGGTGGAGGGCGAGGTGATGGAGTTCGACGAGGCCTTCGACGTCGGGGTCTCGCTTCATGCCTGTGGAGCAGCGACAGACATGGTCATTTCTAAGTGCCTCACGCACTCGGTGCCTCTGGTTGTTAGCTCTTGCTGTGTGGGGAAGATCGGTCTAACATCGTTCGCAACTCTGCGCATGCCTGGAGATCCGTCGGAACAGCCGGTGTGGGACGAGGCCAAGGGGTCGAGCATGAGAGAGCTGTTGCGAGAATATGCCAGCCTGCATGGTGAGGATGGAGACAACGAGCACACACTCTTCGTGCGACTGTCGAAGGCTGCGGACTACAGTAAGGTTGAGTTCACATCTATCACCATCCATCGCATGTTTGCCAAGCTTTTGATCGAGCTAGATCGCCTGGACGGCATTCGTGAGCTCAGTGCCAACACAGGCTCAAGATTCGATGGACGGATATGCAAGATGGAGCCGCTCACTGCGACCCCCAAGAACGACATCCTGATTGCCTGGCCCCAGTCTGTGGCTGTTGACGTCGATAGCTTTCGACTCAGCAAAGATCCGTTGACCAGCCAGAATTTCACGAGCGTCAGGACTGAAATGAAGGCCTGCGATGATTGCAAGATCACAGGGCTGGCCGAGATCCGTCAGAAGCTCGTTGCCTTCAAGGACGATCCAAGTCAAAGTTGTTTGACGTTGGAAGACGTTCAAGGATCTCAGGCGAGAAAGCTCGTGCATGGCGAAGCAGAACGACTTGGGTTGCTGCATGCGTCAGAGGGAAAGGGTAAGGCACGGAAAGTGATTGTTCGAAAGCTAGAGACAAAAAGTCCATGCTCATAACATTTTGTATCCGAAACCAGTGTAGCCAAATAGAATTTTTCACATGGTCTTCTCTCCTTGTCCTACCAGAGTGCTCCTTGCTCAGCGCGCTCATGACTCTCTCCCTCCATCCTGATTGCATCAAAAGCCAAGAATTCCCTTGCTCTGCACCAACATTCACTTCCTCCTCCCCTCGCCCCCCTCACCTCACCTCTCCCCTCGCCTTCCTTCGTGCTAGAAGCCTCAGCCATGGCGTGCCACCTGCGCAGGTCTGACCAGGCGAGCCCTATGGCGGCTCATAGGATGGCGTTACCTTTGTCGTGTGCAGTATAGGCTCCGCCCTGCCCAGTGCACGTCACAAGATCCTCTCAAGCTACGAAGCGTCCTCACCACAAGTCGTGACTTGTTGTTGATAGTGTCGTCGTCGCCTTCGTCTTCGAGCTCCTGTAGAGACCAACTGAGCGAGGCAGCCAAGGGGGAAGGGAGACCTGCAGCTCTTGGAAGGTGACGGGATGGATGCAGTCGACGGGGCAGCTGGAGCTCAAGTCAGGCAAGGTGGAGAGAGAAATATTTGTCTTGAAAGGTAACCTATTGATTGCCTCTTCCACAGCTGAGGCAGAATCCCTGCATGTATATCAGTTTGATTGTATTGATCAGATTGTGAAGCACCCGTCTTGTAGAAACACTCTTGCCCTCCCATGGCTGCAGGCATTCATTCACAAGTTTTGATCCAATCCGAAGGAATACGACTACCTTTCTTCCATAAAGAATGTGCTTCGAGCTATCATGGCGCAGTTTGTACAACCTTGTTCTAAATCAGACAGAGATATGTACGCACGTCCTGTACCGATGCAAGTGTGCTCGTCCACGTAGCAGAATTCACGTTCTACAGGATCTACTGGCTGTATTGTATTTCGTCATAGAACGAATCGAAGGTACCAAGTTCTCATGAGTCGTGTACTTACCACATTACGAAGGATTGGTCTATTGGATTCCATGCACATTTTGAGTTTCTTGTAAGAGTGCTGTTTTGGCGAATGGGATCAGCGCATGCACGTGAACAAAAAGAAGCAGCATGTTGCCTTCTCTGTGTTATGCGCATCTTCTTCGCTAGGGAATAATATGGTCAGATGATTTGCATGATTGATTCAATTTGTACATGTGATTGTAAATGGATTCGAACATTTCTGGTCCCTGTTTCAAACGTTTCGGTCAGGCTTTTCTTTACAAGGAAGAATGTCGTGCCTGGTTATCAATCCTTTTCTTCTCAAAAAGGTTGCTTGAGACAATGCTAAAACACAGTCAGGACCTTGGTCAAGTATAAAAGGTCTACCTCTGCTCTCCCGAAGTATGTTCAAGGATTGCAAAATTAGCTTCATCATCGATCATATTGTTTCTGAAATAATCCTCTGAGGGATCCACCGAGAGCTCCTCGCTACCAATGTTGACCACTGGTAGTATTTCCTGATGTTCATCTAGTCGTGGTCCTCTATCGTTTTCCAAGCTTTCTGGAAATGAAGTGATATTTCTATAGAATACAACAAACTAGTTTCAACGCTCATCAAAATTCCAGATTGCCTCTGAAAGGTGATCTTCCAGTTCCAACATCCTCCCTCTGCAGCAAATCAGTTGTAGACTTGAAACAAACAGACGAAGATACGGTTTTGAAGTTTGCTGATCATCGTCATACATGTATATATCATGAATCATAGTCTCTTTGGCATCGTCGATATTCTGTCCCTGCAAAGAGACCATTGGCTTGATTCACAAGGACAATTACTCTTTTTGTATGCCTTTATATCCTTCGTTTTCTGTTGTTTCTGTGTTTGGCGGGGAGCTTCGTACGATACAGCACCTTGATCGCAAAAGTTAGGACATGAACCAATGTTAACATCTCATTTACCCGTCTCAATGTTGCGAAAGAATACTCTTCCGTCTTGATGCATTTCTCTAACCTGTACTCTCGGTTCAGTCTAATTCAAGACATTGAGAGATTCAACCCATCCGTTTGCAACATCTGCAATATCTTGTGCTGTTGTACTCTCTAAAGCTGCGGTTACCTGATCCTTAGCATTGGTATCTGCACGTGATTCTCATAAAGCCTGTTCAACACGCAGGAGCATACGTTGCAACAAGAATGATCTCTGATTTGCACTTTTTGTATCCTTTTCAGTGCTTTTGGCAGGTGTCAAACAAGTCTGCAGTCCTGCAGATGGGAAAACCTTTGCATTCCAGTTACCATCGGCTTTCCCATGGCGTGTATTCTTGAAACGGTGGGTAAGAGAATGTCATTCAAACTTTTGGATTTGCAACCTCTCTTCAGGTGTGCGAACGTGTCGATTCACGATGGGATCACTGTGATGTGCATTCGTTCAGAGCGAGACAGGAAGGCACACAGGTCATACCGCCTTTCAGAGTTCATCTTTACACGACTGTAAAGGTTTGCCTGTAAATGAAAGCAAGACACTTGGCTCTGCAAAATATATGACTATCGACGTCGACCATTGACTTGCAAACATGTTGATTTGGGAAGACAGCTTACAGACGAACTGATCAATATAGTGGGTATGAGTGAAGGGGCAAATCTGCTTCCCTATACATGTTCATGTCCATGTTCTATGTATTCTCCTTGACCGCTCTCTCCGTTGTAAACATGAAAACAATGCATTTCCTACACGCACCTTCCTGCCATGTCTGCATGCTATGATATCCAACTGCCCTCGTTCTATCTTCAGCTTTGTTCTAGCCTCGTTTCCGTCCTCTTTGCCCTCCTCCTCCTCCTCTCTTACCGCCACCGCGATGCAAACCAACAGTCGCAACGAAGCCATTGCAACTGTTCTGAATCACAGCTCCCAACCCACCCATCTTTTAAGACACCCCTGCTAATTCCAGTCTACCACCCTCCATTCAGACCACACAATTTTGTATCTTGGTACCCCTACCTACTTTTTTGAAATGCACACCACCACTACCCACCCCACTTGGCATTTTTGCACGGCCCTGTGCCTTGTGTCGCTGACAAGCCTCGTTGCCTTTCACCGCTAGAGCATGGCGTCAGTATTCAGCCTCCTCAAGCAGATACCTCCAGCTCTCCTATCATCGTTTCACCTCCATGGATCCGCTTTCTCACACTGATCACTGCAGCCTCTCCGCTTTCTCCTACGAGGGTCCCCGTTTTCCTGCGACTGCTGTTACCCACTCCTCCTCCTCCAGCCTCCTGTATCAACTTTGATGATTTTATTGCACTCATAAGATTAATACGAGCTAAATCCTCCAAAACCAAGAATTCCCTTGCTCTGCACCAACATTCACTTCTTCCTCCCCTCGCCCCCCTCACCTCACCTCTTCCCTCGCCTTCCTTCGTGCTAGAAGCCTCAGCCATGGCGTGCCACCTGCGCAGGTCTGACCAGGCGAGTCCTATGGCGGCTCATAGGATGGCGTTACCTCTGCCATCGAAGATGACTCATCATCGTCGCCCTCGTCCTGTAGAGACCAACTGAGCGAGGCAGCCAAGGGGGAAGGGAGACCTGCAGCTCTTGGAAGGTGACGGGATGGATGCAGTCCAGGGGCAGCTGGAGCTCAAGTCAGGCAAGGGACGATGAAGATGGAGATGTAGTCAGCTGCTGAGCCTTCCTTTCACCTGCTACTCCCTCTTCCTTCCCTCCTCCCTCCCTTCTCCTCTCCCTCCTCCTTCCCCTCCCCCTTCAGTCCTCCTCCCCCTCCTCGAGTTTGTGGCGGATCGTTATTTTAGTCAATTGAGGGGTACCGTGAGGGGAGGGGGAGCAGCAGCGGGGAGTAGGAGGCAGTAGCAGTGGATGTTGCAGTCACAGCCTCATGGAGAGGGAGGGGAAGGGATGGGGGAGGAGGAGGATCTTGTTACTGATCCTCCAGCGAGGAAGAGAAGCAAGTGCGCAGCTGCAGGACGGCCTCCTGAAGGATTCCCAGCGGGCAGGAAACCTGCCGAGCAAGAGCATGCAGGCGCACGAGCTCTAGGTCAAGGATGGCACTTCATGAAGCCGCCGACGGAAAAGGACGTGCGAGGGAATCGGAGGAGCAGGAAAGCTCTGGACGCTCCTGCGCGCCCATTCGACTACCTTGTGGTGAGCAGCTCATGACAGGAAGGGGGGGAGGGGGGGCGGGGGGGGGCGTGAGGTCAGGGAGTTGACACGATGGCGATCAGGTTCTGGACTTCGAATGGACGTGTGACAACAAGTGTGTCAGGAAGGGATGCTCCTTCATCGCTGACAGCTCCTCCTCGCAGAAAGAAGCTTGAGCCACTGGAAATCATCGAGTTCCCCTCTGTCCTAGTCCGCACCTCCTTTCCTCCCAAGATCGTCTCTGAGTTTCAAGTATGCATCTACCTGTGTGCCTTGAAGTTTCTCACACCTTTGTGTTTGTTCTCCGCATCGCATCCCTTATCTGGTCTGATTTCTTTCTTCTTCGTCAAGGTTTACTGCAAACCCCGCGTCAACCCCAGGTTGACAGATTTCTGCAAGGAGCTAACAGCCATCAGCCAGGCAAGCTTGTCTCTCTGCTCCTCTACCTCTGTATGTTGTTTCTCAGACACGACCCGCAGGAAATGGTCGATGCTGGAGTCCATCTCGAAGACGCCATCGAGATGCACCGGCAGTGGCTGGAACAGCATGGTGCGATGAGTGCTGTGACGTTTCAGACCCTCAGGTCTCATCGCTCGTCAGGTTTGCTACCGGCAGAGGGGGCAGCGTCTTCCACCTTCACGTTTGTCACGTGGTCGGATGCAGACATCATGTTTGCGCTGCATTCAGAGTTTTCACGGTTCGTCCACTGGGCAGGAGTGACACATGAATCCTTTCTCACTTGTCGGGGTCTTCAGCTTGAAGATTGCACGCCCATCCTACTTCAACAACTGGATCAATCTCAAGGTCTCTCTACCGTCCCTCCCGCACTCCCTGCTGAGCAGGCAGCAGCTACTGTACAAGAGTCACTTCAAGAAGGATGCTGTGGGAGGACTGCAGGTGACTCTAGTGCTCTGCTGTGCAGCCTCATGCCGATAGGACCGTCAGGCCTGCGTGGAGAGGCTCGGGATCTCGTTCCAAGGAAGAGCTCATAGGTAGCAAGAAGGAGAGGGGAGGATGCTGACTGCAGCGCCAGTGGGCTCGTAGACTCGCGCAACACTGCTGCGATCGTCATGAAGATGCTCAACGAGGTTTGTGCTCGCCTCAGTGTTGAGTCTGTCTGTCTCATGGCCATGATCGTGTTCAGGGCTTCCAGTTCCTCAGAAACACGCGCGGCTTCGGTCCCAACGGTCAAGTATGGGGCAGCAAGAGCGGCAAGCCAACTTGACAAGCACATCAGCCTGCGGCACTGAAGTATCCCGTGCTTGAGGAAGCCTTGGAACGGGGCGGACCCGGATGCACCTGATGAGAATTTAATTAAGTGAATCTTTACTCTACTGGTAAACGGTGCATGGTACAGAAGATCCGACTGTGAACCCACACATACCTAGGGGAGCTGAAGGACAGCAACATACATCTACACCCTCAGCTATACGCTCATGTAACGGACGTGAAGGCAGCGCTCCTCCCCGACATGCCCATCGCCGATGCGGACAAGAGGAGGAGGCTGCAGCGGGAGCTCAAGAGCAAGCAGCGGAGCGAGCAGAAGCTCCTGATGAGCAAGCTCGACCTCATGGTACCCCCGTCCTCCCCCGCCATCGACCCCGCGAACCAACAAAAGCAGCGCCCCGCCCTCAACCTCCTCCATGACCTCGTCGCCTACTTGCGCTCCTGCGACGAAAGGCAGCGAGCGCAGGAACAAAAGCGAGCGATCTACACCGATATGATGAGCTGCATGCTGCTGAGTCGACGGGAGAGGATCATTCTCGCTGACATACCCAGCTGGACAATACGGGACGTGAGCCTAGCGGTACATGGCGATTACGAGGGTTCGTGCTTCGGGGGGAGGCTGGTAAGCTTGCATGGAGAGGGGGGAGGGAGGCGGGGTGAATGAGTCGATCGTAGGTAGGGCAGTGCATGCTCCATCTTGTGAGCATGCAGGACATGGACGCGCTCAGAGGCATCGCTCGACAGGCTTGGGATGTGACGTGCCCGCCTGAGTTCCAGGTGGACGAGGTTGTGAGCATGCGGCTGCTGGAGGGAGGGAGGATGAGGATGGAGCGCTTCCGGCTACTAGGAGTGGTGAGGAAGGACGTCTGCATGTCCATCATCTATCCGGAGCCTCTGGGGCCCGACAGCGCCGAGATCGAGCTGAAGCATTTGGACTTCCGCAGACTGGGAGGGGTCGTGACGTTTGATCAAGAGAGCCCCTCTTCTCCTTTGCTTGCCGACCGAGCGATGAAGCTAGTGTCGGGGAGGTTGTTGCTGATGATGATGATGATGCTCGTGTGGAGACACTGAGATGACTTGCTACAGCTCCCATGGGATGATGTCTGTTCTGGCGAGCAGGATGGGCACTTGCGACACGTCGAGAGGGCTGATGGAGAAGATGGCGGCGAAGTCGAACTCGACGTTTGGTAGAGACATGCGATGTGTGAGTGAGAGACGACGATCGCTGACAGTCTTGTCTATTATCTGTCACTGCAGAGGGCATGACGAAGCAGCTGTTTTCAATCGTCACAAGTCATCTTGAGAGCCATCTTTTGCTTGATTTTGACAGTGAGGCCGCACATTGCCCTGTGAGATTGCTTGGGCATGCACGTTTCCGCCTTCCTCAGGTCTTTGCACTCATCGTCTTTGTCGTCATCTTCTTCTCACTCCTCTTCTTCACTTGTGCCGGATGCGCCAGTTCCTGGGAGGCTTCAAGACCCGCTGGATGCGCACGTTCAAGGCGACCCTGAACGGCTCAGAGATCAAAGAGCTCAGCGGTACGCGAGGAAGCGAGGAGGCGCTGGTCGCTGAGAAGAAAGTTGCAGACAGCAGGCAGCAGGTGGTCGGGTACGCGCACGGAGACAGGAGGACGTTGGGGTGTCATGTGACGTTCCTTTATTTCTGGAGGAAGACAGGGTGAGGGGAGGGAGTGAAATGAGGAAAGCAGCTTGACGGTGGTCGGGACAGGATATGCTTTCATACTCGTAACTTCATTTTTACTTCCTTTGGCGTGCCGAACTTTGGAGAGGTAAATACACGGACATCCTTCGGACATTGCTATATTTTGACACTGACGGACTTTGTTGAGCAGGTGCTGATATTTTGTTACTTGACGATGGTTTGCTGACTCGTAGACTATGCTTTTTTTTGGGGGACCACACTGTAACATTTACACAAACTCGACTTGCATTGGAACTTGAAGGTCTTCTCAAACGCACTTGAGGTAAATTACTGGTAGAATTAGTCCTGTGATCCTGCTGGCTTGTCACGCCTTCCTGGCGCGAAGTGACTCGAGTACAACCGTGGGACTTTGTTGGCTGACTCGTGGGACTTTTTCCAGGAGCCCTACAGGTTTTCGTACCTGATGAAGAGAACGGAGGACTCGGAAGTCGACCGGACGCTGGTCAGTGAGTTTCTTGCTGCCGATCAGTGGCCCTCAGCCATGGACTCCCATGTGATGGTCTAGCCTGAGCGGCGCCGGTCCGACCGTCGGCCGGAGATCCGGCGTCAGGCGTGACTGGCCGGGCCGGGCCCCGGTCACGGTCCGGTCCAAGTCACTGTACATCATAGTACTACGGTAGTCGATACCGCAAGGCGATAATTCTGTACAAATGTTTATAAAATTCAGCGGCACTAGTAGTGGAATAATATTCATTTCGTCTTTTGAATTTGAAACTGCAGTGATTTTGAATTCAGAACTGCACTTACAAATCTGAAATTTCAAGTAGGCGTGCTCATATCATCACCCGATCTGCTTGCCGACTAGCCACAGCCGTCTACCGCTCACTCTCCCTCCTCCCTAGTGGTGCCCTACAGTATCCCATCATCCTTTCACTCTCCCTCCTCCTTCTCACTCCTCCCCCTTCCCCTCCTCCCTCTGTCTCCCCCCTGTCACCTGTTTCCTCCTTCCCTCTTCCCCAACCTCCCTGCGTCTTCTCCCACTCTTTGCCTTGCTACATCCTCCTTGTCTTTCCCCCCTTCCACCCCCCCTCCAACACACACACACACACACACACACACACACACACACACACACACACACACACATTCCCATTCGAGAGTTTTGAACCTCCCTCTATAGGAAGCACGTACCTCACTGAAACAGCCATCGCTCCCTCCACCATCACATCAGCCTCCTCCTGTTTCTTTCTCCTTCATCGTGTTGTTTTCACTCTTCACTCTCTTCCTACCCCCTCATCCTATCTACAAGTGTTGTGATCGATGTCGCCCATCTCTGTCACATTATCCTGCTGGTTCTGTCTACTTCTCCTACCTGGAAACTGCCATTACAACGTTGGCAACAAGCCGCAGGCTCGCGTTCCTACGTACAGAGACTCCTTGGGGTGAGAGACGGAGGAGCTGACTCGATCTCATTGATCTTGACAGCCTGCCGCGGCTGGTGCGCGACGATCCTGACTTCACGAAGAAGCGTTACGGATTGAAAGGGATCTCTGTCGTTGACTGGGACAAGGAGGTCGATTCTCAATGCGAGGTCAGGCGTGCGAACAGGAGGGCCTGACTTGATGGCCCACTGACGTGGCTCGTCCCCCCGCAGGAGATCTCAGACCTGCCCCCGGAGTCGTCGCAGCCCGAGGACGTAACCTTCAAGTAGCATGACACTTCCCCCTCCCCCTCTCACGGTTGAGCAGCGTCTGGAGAGCCTTCGGCCACGCTCACAAAAGGTGGTGAGAGACTTTGAGTGGCCGGCGGGTTGACGTATGGTGCTTCAGCGGTGCGATAGACCTGGAGGATCCGGGAAGACTGATGTGAGGGTTGTGCCTCGACTGATGGGTTGTGATCTCGTGCCGCCAGGGACTTGGACATCGAGAGTTGGTTCTTTGACAAGTGGACGGCGCATGGGAACCAGGTTGAGGAGGATCGGCAGCTCCTGTTGGAGGAGGACTCATGACGCGGCAGGAGGATGTGCGGGAGTGGATGGACAAGAATGCGACCAAGCATGAGGAATGGAAGAGAGTAGCATCAGCAGGTTCCCCAGCGTGCTTCTCAACCTTACTGGCGCTGACGTCCCTGCAGGTGTGAAGCCGAAGTCGCGCCATGATGGTAAGAGTGCGAAGAGAAACAAAGATCAGCGTCAGCATCATGTGAGCACGAGAATGGTTGACATCATGCGCTCTCTAACTATCTCCGATCCCACAGAAAGCCAAGGGTTCAGATATTTCAAGGATTCGACGGAAACTGTTTGCTGATTAGCAACGCCGACCACTTTGTGCTGTTGTAGTTTGTTCTCTCCTTAAAGTTACCTCCTGTCCCTAGCTCCAATGGAATCTTACTCCGTCCATCTCTTGCTTCCCACCAGTCCCTTGTTACAACACCGGCAGGCGCTGAAGCAGCTTCGATCGTTCCACAACTGAATCGTTGTCGAGAAACACGCTGCAAGCAACAACAGCCGTCATCCTCCTCCTCCATCTCATTTCTTAGCAACCTGAACAGAGATCTTGAGAGGGCCTCTGATTGTATCTCTCCTTTGTCCTTCCCGTCAATCTCAGTCACAAGATTTCCATTCTGCAAGCATGTCATGCGAGCCCCCTCCCTCCCTCCTGTGTTCCTTCACTTGCCTGCAGACGAGAGAATGTCAAGACAGTCCCAGCTGCCAGCGAGCTCATGTCAAATTGCTTCTCGAAGGCTGACATGTCTCCTGCAGTCGAGGCCTTGCTCCCACCAGTTAGCCCCCATCTCCCTTCCGGCTCGTCCTACCTCGTCCCTGGCGAAGAGCTTCAGGCGGGGCTGCACGGCCTCCTTGAGGGCTCCTCCCATCTGATCCCCCGTGACGCTCCTCACCATCGTGAGTCTGAGCGACGACTGGACGGGATGCTCCATGAGATACTTGTACCTGTGCACGGGTGTCAGTTTTCCAACACGAGGCCGCGTCTCCTCTGCCCGACATGTCGTTCGGCTCCTTTCCCTTCAGCTCTTCGACGACGCCTGGCTCCGTGTAGACACCGACAGCATACACCTGCAAGCCATGGCCTCATCCTCCTCTGCCGCCATGTCGGATGGCCAAGTTACCTGCACATTCACGAAGAGGATTTTCTTGACCCTGACGGTCGCACCGAGGAGGACGAGCGAGCTCTTCTCTCCTGGGATGTCCAGAGGGAACTTCACAGATGTCGCTTCCTCTACGAAATGATCCTCTCCCGCCATCGCCACCGCCGCCACCATCGCTATCAGCAAAATCCGCCACGCACGCATTTTCCCTCCGAATCAGAGTCCAACAGAGGGGGTGGGGTATTTTTGTAGGGGGTCCTTCAATTATCTTTCACTATCAAAGAAGAGAGAAGGGGGGTAGGGTGATATAGTATGGGAGGGGTACTGCTTCCCTTGAGTATTCTAGGGATCAGGACGCAGGTTCAGTCTTGGCGGCTTGTCGGCGGCGCTTGATGAAGATGTCGACATGCTCCTTGACCTGAGCCTGAAGCCTCGGCTGCTCCAGCGCTTCTACTGTGCAGTCGCTCCCGAGCGATCGCTGACATCGCACCATCACGAGTGCCCAGAGAGAGGGAGACAAGACAGGTAGACAAGAGAGGGAGACAAGACAGGGAAGGAAGGGGGAGAGGGGAGGAGAGAGTCTCACCTTGTGACCTGATCCTGGGAGCAGCTCATGTACCAGTCGCCGAGCAATCGTCTTGAACTCATCCTTATCCCTGCGGTTGCCAGGACATGAGAACAAGCGGAGAGCGAGGAAGGAGAGAAAGAGAGGAGACGTACAGCAGGAACGTGCACTCTGGCTCCTTCTTCTTGAAGCTCAGCCACTTGCAAACAATAGGCCCGAGGACAGTCTTGATCTCCTCCATCTTCCGTGCACCATGATCGCCGCGAGAGGAAGAAGACCTCTGCACAAGACACGTGAGGGTCTGAGAACGAGAGCTGCTTGCTCGGTCGCGTCCTCCTCTCTTTTCACCTTGGCTGTGCTCGGGTTTCTTGCCTTGAGGTCTCTGTCTGTTGTGTCGATGGAGGAGTGAGCAGAGTTGGCAGCTGCCAGCTGGGAGGAGGCAGCAGTGCCCTCTGCAGTCTGTGACTGAGGAGTCTGCGCGTTTGCCGGCCCTACAGGGGGAGGATCTGCAGGAGAAACTCAGTGCCGTGGAGTGAGAGTGGAGAAATCGGCATGTATCTCGACTATGGGAAGAAGGAGGAGGGGGGGGGGAAGGGGGTTGAAGAGGTGGTGGAGGTGGTGGAGGTGGGGGCGGAGGTGGGAAAGGGCAATGGGAGGGAGACAAGGAGGGAAGGAGGGAAGTTGAGGTAAAGTGATACCGCCAGAAACTGTGGTGCCTTGCTCAGCAAGAGACTGATGCTGCCTTGAAGAGATATCCTGCCTCCCAAGTCAACGGCAACGAACAAGTCAAGGGGAGGAAAGAAGGCCAACTGACAACTCACTGGGGTTGGAGTATTTACATTCGCAGGTAAGGGAGTAGCAGCAGGCAACGGCGCCTCCTGCCCCCCTTCAGAGGCATTGTAGTAGTTGGAGTAGCTCGCAGAACTGACTGTGTCGCCTCCTACCCAGCCAGAGGGTGTATCTCCAGAAGGAACGCCATTCATCGAATATACAGGAGGAGGATGCTGTGGGGGAGGGAGGGAAGCAGGGGGATACGAAGGAGGGAGGGAGGGGGTGGGGAAGTGGGAAGGAGGTGGAAGGGGCGGCTGATAATGCTGCGGATACGGATATTGCTGTGTGAGGTACTGTTGCTGATGCATCTGATATTGCTGATACTGGTCATGTTGTTGCAGCTGTTGTTGTTGTTGCAGTTGTTGTTGTTGCAGTTGTTGCTGCTTCTTCTCTCTCTCAAGCGCTTCAACCTTTCTCTGCATCTCTTCGAGTTTTGCCTTAAGGGCCTCACTCCCTTCACCATCATGACCCCCTGGCTTCGACTCCGACCGGCCGCTCCTCATCGGGTGCTCCAGCGAGTCGAGATGCCGTATCGCGGCGTCTCGCCGTCGGAAGGCTCGTTCAATCAGCTCCACCGGGGTGTTGAAGCGCTTCTGAAAGGCCTCAGACAAGGGCAGGTCATGCGTCCTCGAGTATTCATAGGCCTCTTCGACCTGGTCATCGTTGACCAGCCCCCAGTGCTTCAAGATCTCCGCCAGCGACATGGCCTTCCCGTCCCTTATCAGATAATCGTCTCTCACCTCATCCCTGCTGGGCCCCCTGGTGGGCTGCCTCCTGTGGTAGCTGCTTGTCGAGCGCTCACTCATGGGATGGTGAAAAGTGGTGCTGGAGGACGTCGGGATCTTCATCGAGAGCAGAGCATCATGCAAACCCATGGACGGCTTCTCTTCCTTACTCTTACCCATGGACGGCTTCTCTTCCTTACCCACTTCCAAGGCGCTTCCTGTCTCGTTGCTCTCCTTGCTGGCATCTGACCTCCCCATGTCCCACCGAGATCTTCGCTTCTTTGTGCCTGCCTCATTCTCCTCATCACCTTTCACCCCAAGGCTCTGAACTGCCTCCCTCTTCTCCTGCTGGGGCAGCCCAACAGGCTGTGAGGACTCAGACTCCTGGTCTTTGCTCGCAGTGCACTTGTCCTGATCAGCAGCAGCAGCAGCCACAGCAGCAGCGGCGGCAGAAACAGTTTCGCCCTTGCACTCCTCAGCTCGTCCGAGATCCTTCGCGTCCTTATGAGCAGTCGTCGTAGTCTCCTCCTGATGCACCTCCATCACAGCTTCATCAGTCGCCAACTTGCACTCCCGCTGCCTTGCAAGCTCCACCACGTCCTCCACGTACTGTCGAAAGGGAATTTCCTTCTGCTGCTTTCCCCGTGTATCACAATGGTTCTCGATGCCCTTGTCTCCGACGTGAGTTTCGCCGTAGTCAAGCGTGATCTCCGAGTCCTTCTTGATGTCCTTAAGAGCAAACAGCCCCACTCGCTTCTCCCCAAACACATTCCAGATCTGCAACTCGCAGTTTGGGGTAGAGGAATGATTCGCGAACCGCGAGAGCGAGGATTTCTCAGTCAGGTCTAGGTACAGCATCTCCTCTCCCACCTGCTCCCTGTCAAGGGAGATCAGGAAGTGAGAGCCTGACGTCTTGGCTGCCGCCCTCCTCTTTGGCGTTTGCAGCCGTGAAGCACATTCAGCAAGGGTCAGCACCTCTCCCAGGACTTCCTCCAGCATCCGCCCCTTGCTCACGTCCTCCAGAGTCTTGAGGGCCCAGCCCTTGTTGGGGTGGTTGAACACGCCGAGTCGGATGGCCCGCTGGAACGGCTTCACCACCTGCCCCTTCACGTTGGCCCTGAACAGGATGTTGGTACAGTTCTCCCCGCAAGGGCAAGTCTCCGCGTTGCACTGTACCCGGAGCTTCCGGTTCCCGCAGTCGGCCTTGCATCCTCCTGTCCCTTCCACGTAGAAGCAAGCGCACTCTGGCGGCTCCGTGAAGTTGGAAGGAGCTTCCCCCGGGTACTCGTTCTCCTGCAGCCGCACAAAGTAGGACGGCCGGAGCTGAGCGTTCTCCGACATGAACGCCGGGGCCATTCTCGGCATCTGGTCCTCGCTACTGCCGTCATCGTCCCCATGGGAGGTCTTGGCCTTCTTCCTCCCTCTTCCTTTCTTGTCACCGGTTGGATCTGCCTCGATGCTCCTGCCCCCCACCGCTGCAAGCTGCTCCTGCTGTTCCAGCCGCTCCTTGAGGTCCTCTGAGAGTACTTTGATATTGTCGCTGAAGGCGAATTCAGCCGCCTTGACGTCCTGGATCTCTCGCAGCTCAGAGACGTCTCTGTACATCTTACAGATCATCGTGTCGAAGTCCGCGTCTCTCACTAGCTTCCTCTGGCTGGCCACTGGCGTGCGGCAAGAAGGGCATTCTCGCTTGCTGTGCCTCAAGCATTGTGTGATGCAGTCGGCACAGAAGCGGTGGAGACAGTCCGTAATGATCGTCGTCTCGCTGATGATGTTCATGCAGATCGCGCAGGTGAAGTCGCTGTCTATTACCTTCCTTGGGATTCTGACAGTAGCGTTGGGAACCGCTTCCCTCACAGGCCGCAACATGTCGGCGAGAGAGCATCCTTGGGGAACCACAATCTTCTTGAGAGGCTTGGCGGGCTTCTTCGATGTCTTCTCCTTCTTCTTGCTACTCTTCCCACTGGTCTCCATGCAGTCGCCATGGCGGACACTTCCGCAGATCCCGCATGGCATTCCCGCCGTCGCCCTCACCACCCTAGCTAGAGTGACTTGGTGTTGGTGGGTGGGTCAGAGAAACGAGGTGGGGTAATGAACTTGGATGGGTTGGGGTACTGTTTGAATGGGGACTTTGATAGCAGCACATAATGAATTTATAGGGTAGGGGTTGGCTGTGAACATGGTGAGGTTACTAATGAGGGGGTACATCTCGAAGACTGACCGGTCAGTCGGGGTAGGGTACAAGGCTTGTAACTAGAGGGCGAAATGGCTGCGGCGACAGGAAGGCTTGTTTGCGCTTGAGAGAGGCGAATGAGGAGAACAGATTGAGAGAGGAGAGGAGAGGAGAGGAGAGGAGAAGGGAAAGCAGCTGTAGTGAGGGTTGAGAGGAGGAGAAGATGAGATTGTTGCTGTGTTAGCTTCTCGCGCTTGCAGCCATGAGCAACGCAGCTGGCCTTGAAGGTCGACGTCGGCAAGTATGGGAACGGGTCGTCTCCTTGCAGCAACGAAAGCTGCCATTGTCGCAATCCTCTCCGTTCCCAAAAGGCACATCTGAGGTTCAACGGAAGGCGTTGAATGCGCTGCTGGCCGAGGCCCTTCCCGCCCTTGCAGATGAGGTGGCGAGGGATGAGCAGCTCCAAGATGAGATCCTCGACGTGCTGTCCGAGATTGTCGATGGCAACCTGACCTCTCAAGCTTTCTTCAAGGTGCTTGCTCTCTCGTGCTCGCTCACCAGCAGTCTCGCGGCCATCTGACTGCTCCGCAGTGCCTTGAAAGGGAGTGTAAAACCAAAATGCAGAAGTTCGATGCCAAGGCCTGGAGGTCCGGCATGATTTCCTTGCTGGATGAGTTTTGCCGCAAGGACTCGTTTGTCTACCCGGAAATCAAGTACCTTGCCGACTCTGACGACACTGAGGCGCCTGCGAATAGCTCCGAGCAAGCGTCGCATCGGGAGCTGTCCAATCAATCGAGGTGAAGAGGCTGTTTAAAGCTCAGGGGCTCATCGTCTGTTGTAAATTGCGCAGCTGTAAATGTAATAGTTGAAAACACACATTTGAATGAAAATCTAAATCATTCTTTATGTCAAGAACTTTAAATCTTGTTAACAATTATCGAAATCGTCCAGGTTACACAAGGACCGTATGATAACATTTGACTCAATCGTACATGGATGCAACATAAGCAAATCTTAAGAGGAAGTAAAGTTGACAGGATCAGAGTAGAGCTCAAACACATTTCAAAATCGTTCTCGAAACTTTGACTCCTGATGAACAGCAGGGGTCAGTGGCCGTGGCAAATGTCACACTGGCAAGCGTAACAGTCAACCTGCTCGATGAATCGATCGTATCGCACTTTGTGTCTTTGTAGCTTTTGAAGTCGGATCGCGTCATCTTCTGCCTCCTTACTGCGAAGCTAGTTCGAGTTCAGAAGCCAAGAGAGCCAGCAACCATTTCATGGACCCACCCTCTCGGCAAAATCCGTATATCGCGCGTTCTGTTTGTTCACCACCTCAATCCTCCTCGAAGCTTCTGCCATTCTCTTTTCTTCAAGCTGCAATGCAAGCTAAAATTTAGCAAAATTGCAGCATGCCAATAAAGTTCCCTCACATTGTTAGCAAACTCGTGGTATCTTTCAACCCGTTTCTGATGAACGTCAGTTCGAAAATATTCCTCCTCCCATTTCTTCTCTTCGGACTGTAGCGTGAATGTTAGCAACACCACACTTGAAACCAAACACAAGATGAAACAAAAAAGTATCCTTCTTACCATTCGAACTCTTTGCTCTCGTTCAAAACTATCTTGCTGCCTCCGAGCTAAGCGTTGCTGCTCGATATGAGGGCTGATGTGAAATTTGATCTTTTCGTAGGTGCTCCTTTTCTTGGGATCTTGGTTGTACGCGTGCAAGTCCTGGAGACAGCAATTTTCAGTCATGCACATGAGAGAGTGAGTATGCATACCTGACTTGACGACTCAAAGTAGTCTCGGTTGGCAACTATTTTCAATAATTTCTGCTCCTTTCTTGCATGATCCAAAGCCTCTTTCATTTCGTACTCCTGAAGCGCAAAAAAGATCATGAAGGGTTTACCAATGTGAGCAATACAGACCTTGAGGACGCGCTCCTGGTTCCTCCTTACTCTGTCCTGCCTGATTTGCTGCCTAGACAGGAAAATACTGTTGTCCTTCGCGCTGTCTTGGTAGACATCCCCGCCCTGCAAGTGAATGTTATGATCCAGAACTTAGCTTCAGCAGCGAGAATGGTTCATGCCTGTGCCTGTGCATTGATGTATCTACTGTCGTATCCATAGCTTGTGACATATCTGTCCGTGTCCCCTCGAAAGTGCGAGCGTTGTTCACTGGTAGGCTTGATCGCCTTCTCTAGATCTTCACTTGTTTTGAACGCCGTATTCTGCCCATATCGAGGAACTGCTTCATGTTGAAAGTTGTATCTGCCCTTCAGCTGATCTTGGAAGCTCAATGCATAGACTGATCGCTCGGGCGCGTCGCGCCTGCTGGTTAACGGCACGTACGCAGAGTCCTCAGGTTTGGTCCACCATTCTTTCCCCCTTCCATTCTTTCTCATCACTTGTCTTTCCGTGTGAAAACCACTCCCTCCTCCTCCTCCTCCTCCTCCTCCTCCTCCTCCTCCTCCTCCTCCTTCCCCAATTCTATTCGGCACCGCCAGCACAGGCAGGCGCAGTTGGGCCATGGGCGGCTCCAAGCCACCTCCTCCCACCCTACCCCTTCTTTACATTGCGAACTCAACAGTCGAATTCAACTACCCCTACCCTACCTGTACCACATTTGTCAAGGCCTCCACACCCTCCACATATCACCCTACCCTGTGAATACCATCCTACCCCACCCACACCACCCTACCCTGTTACATATTGTGTACCAACAAACTTCCCGGGACTGATGCTGCGCAACCGGGTACTGATCTTTAACTTAACTTTGAGTAAAGATGCGCCAGTGGACTCGGGACTCCGAGGGGACCGAGGCCCGGCCCGGGCGCGGTCCAGCGGTGAGCCGAGGCCGGGCCGGGCTGAGTGACTCACTGTCAGCGGCTGGCTCCTCCGAGCACTGAAAGTTAAGTACGGTAACCTGGCTCGGACGTTTTGCGACCGCCGGGGCCCGTGCCCCGGCCCGCGCGGCCGGATCAGTGCGCCGCCGGCCGGGCCCGGCCCGCCCGGCCGGTACGGTCCGATCCCAGCGGCCTGTGACCGTGACTCCAGCCGCCGCCGGCCCGCCGCCGTGAGCTTGCTACAGTCAACTTCACTGAGTCACTTGAAGTTCGGAAACCCATTCCCGGGACCGGGATCAGCGGCTGCCTGAGTCGGACGATGACGGCGGCGCGCGGGCCCGGCCGGCCCGGCCCGGCCCACGCCACACTGTGACTGACACGGTTCAACGGTTAGCTGTACTAGGGCCCACACTGATCGGACACGGTTAAGTTAGCTGTACTACCGTCCGTAAGCCGCGCCCGGCCCGGCCGGCAGTGTGACTTGCCGGCGGCTCATGGAAACAAGGCTAGTACACTTGCCGGCGGCTCATGGAAACAAGGCTAGTACGAGTGAGGATATGGGGCCCTTCCCCTATAGTATTCCGAAGTTCTACAGTACTCAGTAGACCATGCCAGGCTGATGGCCAAGCAGCGGCAGCCTGGGACACACGGCGGCGGCGAGGGACTGGAGGAGGAGGTGCAGCCGCTGTTCGAGGAATTCATCGCACAAGACCATCTCGATAACCAAGACGAGATCGTCAATGTTATGAAAGTAGGTCAGACCACTGGCAGCCTGAGTCTGCCGGACCTCCTCGTCACCGTGACGACGGGGCGCTATGGCGGGGAATCTAGGGGGTGCTGCATGCCATGGCAGGTTGTCACGAGAAAATTCAAATCAAAGTTTTGGCGGGCAAAGCTAAGTTGCCCCACACCATGGGCAGGCCCAGGCCTCCAGCCAAAAAAACATGCTCATCATGCCACAGACGAAGAGAGATGACCAGCATTCGAAAGTGGCATGGTGTGCCTTTGTGCACAACTTGTGTTGCAAGGTTAAAAAACCACAAGTATTGCAATAATCTTAAGCAGATCTTGCTCTCTAAATGGGATGATGCCTTGGTTTTCAAGCTGTTGGATTTCTTGCAATGTCGTTGCGAATTGTCCTGAGCAAACCGCACGACCGTGAAGCTTTCAATGCACGGGATGGATCTGATAATGATGTTGAGCCAGAAAATAGCACGCAGAAGAACAAACGAAAGCGAGTTTAGGCTAAATCAGGGCAATGGGATGAAAGGATTATCAGGTAATATGCAACGGTTCCGGGGATTGCGTAGCGTTGCTGGTTGCAAGTCGAAAAAAGAGAAAACGTGTTGTTAAAATATCGAATACTGCAACGATGACATTCGAATGATTGACACCATGATGAAGATCTCACAAATCCCTGATAGGCTCTGGTGGTTTCACGATTGTCATCATTGCACAGGCTGAGTTAATCACCCTTAAACCTGGTCGCCGCCCTTGCTGCCATGGCGATTTCCTGAAAAAAACCACTACCCCACCCCCACCAAATAAAGCTGTACCCCTGATATGTAAGGGAAACAAACCGGTACTAGAAGCTTTTAAGAGCTTAATTGCGATTTCCACCCACCCCTGAGGCACTGCACCCCCAACCCCTGTTCCTAGGCCTGAAAGTACCGTACCCAAAACTAACCCCAGCGACAATGAACAAGAACATGGCAAACACAGCGAAGAAGGAGGAGGTGCAGCTGTTCGAGGAATTCATCGCACAAGACCTTCTGGATAACCAAGACGAGATCGTCAACGTCCCAATCTCCTCCTTGCTCTCACGCTCTCACACCATTCATTGCTGTAAATATGTACATGATCTCTGCTACCTCGAAGAATAAATACACACTTAAAATCTCCTCCGGAGTCTCCTCCGTCACGCCTCCATCCCCTCCTTGCTAAATCCTTTCGCCCCATGTATCCTCTTTCACGCAATGCCTCCAATAGCACTCTCCTGCCCCAATCCCACTCGGGCTCTCGCACCTACTCAACTACTTGCTCCCACGCCGACTTTCCTGCGCATCCCTGCGCATACGAAAGCATCTCCATCAAGCAAGCCAGCATTCGTTCATCACACTCAGACAATGTCAAAGTAGACAAATGATCAACACAATCCTTCAGCTTCGCACTCCTCCTTGCACTCAAAACGTTGG